AGAATCTCTTGCTGTAAGTGAAGGACTAGAGCTAACTATTGTCTCTCTCTACTGAAAAAACTTGTATTAGTGTTAAAAAATTTATTTGAAGCTGGACATCAAAACATTATTTCAGAACTTTTTTTGCAAGTATGCATGTTTTTAAGAGCTAGAAATGCTACATAAAAATTGGCCAATTGAATTTCTATTGAGAATACCAGATTTTAATAGACACACCTACTTATTAATTTTGGTTGCCTATATAAAGTACCAAAATTAAGCACTTGAAACCAAAATCATGCCTTCAGGATAAAAAGTGTTAAACTGCAAATGTCAAGTAATGATTAATCTAAAATAAGTTACTCAAGTTATAAAAATAATTGTTGCTCTGATTTATATAAGCATATTGGTCTAATTAGGGAAAATCATAGCACTGCAGAGCTATTGAGATGACTTAAAAGGGGGGAACTCTCAGGCATGTCCAAAACTCGATGAAATTTTCGTCTCATTGGAATCAAATGCGATATTCTCCCAATGCCAATAAAATCAAGATCTCTTCTGATAAAGAACACTGGTATGAGAACAAGTGAGCACAACTGACAATGAATACTTACTTAAGGGATAATTTTTAATTTCCATATCAAAACAGTGAGGTTCAGTAACTGTCCGCAGCTGGAGCAATGGGAGGAAAAGATGTAATGCTTCTAAAATGGAGCTCAATCTGTTTAGGAAAAGGTTCATATGACGTAGCTGTGACAGTGATGGATTGTCTGGATGATCCAGGAGGTCCCTGACAGCCATACAATACCTGCACTGTAGTGATTTAGATAATATATTTGAACATAAAACTGGATGTTCACAAGCATAGTCATAAGCACAACTGCCACAGACTGGCAGAAACTTTATACTTATTACACAAAAATAGAAAGGGATGATGTTTACTTTCTCCCCAGAGCTATCTTTTTCCCAAAGACCAGCCCCACTTTTGAGGTGCAGCCTGAAGAGCTGCGCTGCAGTATGCCCTGTGATTTAAAGAATCACTGACAGCCTTCAATGCTCTGATTCTGTCACACAGATCAACCATTCCACTCTGCAACTTTGCACTATGACAGTAGCTATTTACTGATCAACTGCTGACCAGTTTATCTTCCTAATTCATCAACAATTTCTTAGACAAGCTGAAATGCTAAACACACAAAACTAGTGCCATTAGATCAATGGAATCAATTTGAAAAGATACAAACAATCTCTCCTTAAATGTTTGCTTCGCCACACTCTGAATATTAAAACTTCAAAGCTCAGATGTACTTTAGAAAAGAAACCAAATAGTTTAGAGCCTGTTTAAAGTTTACCACAACACTCAGTAGAGTGAAAGACAAGAAAAAGTAGGGCTCTTCTACTGTTTCCATGCTGCATCAGAACTCTCCCCCTGCCCTGCAAAAAACAATGACAACACATCTTTTGATGTTTGAATTCTTCATAGCTTTTTATAGCAATATGACATCAGAGCAACTTATTTAAATTTTTTATTTAACATAAAACCAAGAAGTGTTTGGTACAAGAATTTTCAATAAAAGCTTTAACTTTTCACTGTCAATTTCAAATTCTGAATTAACATGGAAGTAACTGTAAAGTTATTGTATTTTAAGGTCCTGCCTTTAAGCCACAGCAACAATTAACACAAGAATAATTCCTGGACTACTTTTTCTTTCTTTTTTTTTAAGAGAAAGTTACAGTAAAACATCTGGTTATTGTAACCAGAAGCAGCTGCTCCTGAAAACAAGGACATAATAGTGTTCCATCACATTACTGAACAGATTGAGACACAGGAGCAAAAGCACGTACTGGGAACAGAAATAACAATAAAAGTACAGAAAAGGGTATTAAGAAGTTTTTCTCCAGTTACTTAGCTGGGACCAATACAGTAGGACTTCTGTTACCTCTCTCAAAATAAAATAACTTCTAAAACACTTCCAAGAAAAGGACAAAGTATCTGGATGACAGAAACAAAGGAATCCAAGACTATTCACACATTGAGTTTACTTAACATTTGGAGCAAAACCAAGTCTAGACCAAAATCAATAGCAAACCTGCCATTGCTTTTAATGGATTAATGATTAGTGGTCCATTTATTTCATAATTCTTGTATCTATGTCTAAGCATACTGGCATACGTATGTGAACTAATACAAAGATCATGAAGGAAAAGCTAAAAAAAGGGTTAGCATATAGTACTGTACTGTCAAAATGTGGCTGCTAGTACACACATGACATCGTATTTCAAGTTAGTGCAGAAAGACTCTTATTTGTGTTCTGGGTCACCAATAATAATTTTAACTTAACAAAAACATCTTGATTATGAGATAAGGTTTGGATGAGTTGAAGGATAAATGCAAATACTGTAACAGAAATATCTGCATCAGATAAGCTTAAAAGGTAGCACACAGAAAAGCATAATCAAAGGTGACTTTTGAGATGATGTTCACCCATTATAGAATTCCATAAATGCTACAGAACACAACCTTCTCTACTGTTCAGTAACTTTATGAATATAATATTAATAACAATCATCAATGAGTTGTTCAATAGGTTGCAAGAATAAACTGTCCTGATTCCTGTCACTCAGTTATTGATTGCTTAATATATTGTCTCCTCTGACAGATAAATAAAATGTGACTTGGGAAAGGAACAACCGCTGGGAGACGTAAATGCATTTGTACACAGCACCTGGGTCAGAACCAATGCAAGTACTTTTCAGACAACAAAACTGCCATGGAATTTCAAGAACAAAGCTTCTAGTAGAATGAAAACTGCTGTTTTCACCAGATTTTGTAGATACTGATTTCTGTAAATCTAAGCAATCTTTTAATGCCACTTAGATATTGTTTATGGCTACTGATTCAGGAAAAAAAAAAGTTACTAATCTGAAGTATGTAAAGATTCCACTACTACAATGGTAAATCCTTAAATACATGTTCAAGTACCAGAAACTAAAGCACATACACGATATAAAATAATTTTCTGACCTTTGGAAGCTTGAAAATAGGACACATTTTCTTATAAAAATTCCTTTTCCACACACACCTCTATAAAAACCCAGCCCTTTCTTTCCATGTCCCCAAACTGTCTTTCCATTTGAGCTCAAGACATTCCATACATGTCCTACACAATATATTGACTTATCTTGCATTACTCAGTTTTTTCCCAGCACACTATTCAGCAATCCTCTTCTCCAACGAGTTATGCCCATTTTCCAAACTGTGAAGGCACAGTAAGCAGATCTTCAATCCTCTTTTAAGGTAAACTGCCAGAAAATTGTTTTTTTTCTCTCTCTTAAAATACACAAATATGTATATAAAAAAAATAGTAGGTAGATAAAATTTTGGATGTAAAAAACCCACCACTTTCACTATTGTCCTTCTAAAATAGGTAAAGGTAAGAGAAATACCTCATCTGGAAACTAAAAATAGCAGGAGTAATTTCTATCCTCTTTTCAGATTTTGCTATTATTCCCCTGGAATATAGTGACCTTATTGTCTTTGCTTATATAAGCGATATTAGATTACCTAGCTGGAATTTTTCACTTAATACAAGTAATTTTATGCATATTTTATGCTAGACTGATCTTTTTCTGCTCTCCTTTTTATAATCAAGCTTTCACATATGTAATCTCCCATGCCAGAATGCAGAAGGAAGATTTTGCTGCTATCCAGCCACATAAGCATTTTATACACGCTTAAGATGCACGTCACACTAAACCCTGAAGACACATGAATCACAGACAACCCATTCTTTTGCTTGAATACACTAATAAATCTGTTTCCATCGAGAAGACCAGAGTCAGATCTCATCCTCATGCCCGGGGCAGTAGGAAATGCACCACTCGCTCTACCTCAGACCTGCTCAGCAGCCACAGCTGTAGCCCAGGACCTTTCACTTCTAGGTGTCCTTCACGTAAATCCATCTTGGATGCATGTTGGTAGGGACAGTAACACCAAACCTGTCTGAATGGCCACCTGCATGTTTTTGTTTTCCCAACAGGTGAAGGCACATTTACCTGTTGGTTTTTTTTTTTTTTTTTTCAAACAATCATTGTCCACAATGGGAAAAGGCAGGAAACACTTCTTTAACCACTGACCTGCATTCAGCTTCTTCCTTTCTTCCAGTTTGTAACAGAACCTCACTCAATTCTAAAGGAAATTATTCTAAAAGAGTCACAGTCCTTGTGCATGTTATCTTCTGGTACACATACTGAGTTTCTATAACATTTAATAGCAACATCACACAGGTACCCGAGTTAATCCTAAGTGACTTTGCACTTACCTGGAGTTATATTAGAACAGCTACAGATGGTGCAAAAAAACCAAACACTGATTTCACTGAATCAAATACTTAGTCAAAAGACAGGAGAAAAATGAAGTACCTGAAGTAAACAGGAAAAGTATCAATAAGAGGAAAAAAAAAATAAAAAAGGCTGTAGCTTATCTAATAGCCTAGCATTAAACAATGCTCTCCAATTTCTTTCAGGCCTTCATGATCCTTATTTTCCTTTTCACAAATTTTAAAATTAAAATTACACTGTTTTCCAGAGCATGCTCCAACAATAGAAACAAATGTGTATGGCAAATAAAATTTGTATGCAAGCAGTGAGATCTCAAAAATGCCACTTGCACTCTTTTTTTTTCATTGGATCACCAAGTGTGTCAATATCATCGACATCACATTTCTTGTTTTCACAGGGTCAAGGACAAATGAATCCAGATGCAATCTAAAGACTGATGTTGCATATGTAATTCAACTCATCTTATTAACAATACCCTCAGAACAATCCCCAAGGAAGCATTCATGAAACTTTTCTCTGTACAGGGAGATTTTTGTCACACGTTATTAAACATCATTAATAAGTTTTCTGTGATGTATGGAAAATTTCAGCCAAAATGCAAAAATTCAGAAAAAGGGTACTTCCATTATGTCTGAAAATAAACAAATACTAAATATTGTGCAAAAGGAAAATACTTTATTTACTTTAATACCATATTTGATTTGCAAATTTCAAGAACTTAAGGTCAGAAAACCAAACTGAATTTTGCTTTCCTAAATGCATCTATAATCTGCATGAAAGCCATTAATTCTCGAGAGGAACTAGAAATGGCTTTTATGATCTAGTTACTGCTGATAGCCTTCTCAGCTGCCAGTCCTTGTTTGGGTTTCGAGTAATCCCAAGGTCTCCTGTTCTCTGTGTACCCGTACAGCTTCCGCAGTGCCACGCGGGCAGCTTCTTCCTCTGCAGCAAGCAGTGTTTCACCAGGACCTTCGGCTATAATCTTCTTATCGCTTGGGAAAAAAAAAAATAATACAATTTAAAACATTTTCATCATAAAATCCTGAGCACTACTGTGTATCATGAATAAAGACTGTTAGATTTTTTCTCTCTAATGTCTGTGAAGATTGAAGGTAATTTCTGTACACACACAAATGTAAACATTTCCGTTGGGCTTTCCTGCACAGATAAGTGATTGTATGTTCAACAATGGAAACTCAATCAGAAACGCATCCATTTCCTGGAAGAACACTACTCTCTTCATTTAGATTCCTAACATATCACTGATTCTTTAGTGTTCAGTTTGTTAGCCCTGTTATTCTGTTGTTAGCAAATCTGTTATTCTGGTTAGCCTAAACAAAGAAGTTAAATGTTCCTGTCTTTTCTCCTCCCCTGGTAAGAATGCATTTTAAAACTTCTTCAAAAGGATTCACAAAGAAGTTCTCTGTGTTATGAAATATGTACTCGGCTCTGTTTAATCAACATCTGTGGGCACAGAATAGGAACTGTTTGTGAAGGAACACGATGGATTCCAGAAGAAAAGTAATCCAAGTTCCTTTCTTTTGTTTAAGATAATAAATCATAGAAGGCATATAAACCAAAGCATGATAAATCAGAAGAAGTTAAGGCCATCTCCCCATGCATTTATCTGCAGCTCATTCAGCAAAGCAACAGTGATGAGGGTTTTGGTGGAAGAAGGTTCTGTTCTGCTCCAGAGGACCAATGTCACCCCTGGGCAACAGACCAGGACAGGCACTGACCATGCCCGAGACAAGCACACCAGGGACAGCTGGCACTTCCTAAGTCTTGTCTGGACACAGATGCTTCTCTTGCCTAGTTCACATGATTTTAAAACTAAAAAGCTTCTCTGGAATATAAAATAAGTCTCTCTTCAATCCCACCACCTCCCTTGATGTCTATGTCTCTTTACCCTTCCCTGAGCCCTGGATACAGCTGTGGTCCCTCCAAAGCCATTTGGTTATGCTATTCGCAAAGTTCCTGTGCCAGGTGACCCAGAACATACACCCAGACTCTTTTGTACATCTGACACAGAATTCAAAGCCCTTTAGTCAGAGACTGTCTTTTCAGGCATCACTACAGCAAGCGACTGCCAATGCTTAAATGGCTGATTTCATATGGAAGTCCCTGTAAGATTTCTCTTCTATAATCATAGAAACATAGAATGGTTTGGATTGGAAGGGATCTTAAAGATCATCTAGTTCCAACCCCCCTGCCATCAGCAGGGACACCTTCCACTAGACCAGGTTGCTCAAAGCCTCATCCAGCCTGGCCTTAAACACTTCCAGGGAGGGGGCATCCACAGCTTCCTTGGGCAACCTGTTCCAGTGTCTGACCACCCTTACAGTGAAGAACTTCTTCCTAATATCTAATCTAAACCTCCCCTCTTTCAGTTTAAACCCATTTCCCCTTGTTTTGTCATTAGTTGTCCTTATGAAAAGTCCTTCCCCAGCTTTCTTGTAGGCTGATAATAACTTGACCAAAGAGCAGGAGTAAAAAAGTAAAAGACCATCTTCCTTCTTCCCCTCTCCCCCAGATTAAATCCATTTAACTTTAAATTAGTATAGTACTAACCAGTACAAGCCAACAAAGTACAGTGGCAGAACTGTGGTGACTCCCAACTGCCTGGTAATTCTTGGCTCTGGAGAAGAGATATTCCTCTTGGTTAGTTCTTCCACTAGTAAGCCCATAGGATTTACAACTTCCCAGATCTCGAACAGGTCTTTTCCAATCAATTGGGGAATAAAAAAATCCTAAACAAAAATATTCAAAGTTACAATTAATGGGAAAGGTAACGAAGGCTCTAGCTTCTGGTATCTGCTAATAAGAATACAATATGAAGAGGCATTAATACAGTTGACAACAAATTGCTGAAATGGATGAAGAAACCACCTCAGTGCTTCACCACAGCTGAGCACAGCTAACCACTGTTGCTCTGCTGGGCAGCTCTGGTTCTGATTTGGACATAGCCAACCGCCAAGACGTGAAGAAGGAATAAGTGCCAGCCTGAGGGAGGGGTTACAACAATGCTTACACACAGCTCCCAGCCCGAGGTAAGCAACTCAGTGCTGCTTCCAAGCAAGAAGCTGTACTTCAGAAGAACTCTGCAAACAGGACAAAAGGAATGTGCAAACCCACAGGATCGGTTTTGTTCAGATCACTCTCTTGCCTGTTAAGTGCTACTTGCTCTTAAGAGACCTTTGAATGGCCTTGTATTAGAAATAAGATTTTAACAAACATTTCTCCATTGCAAAACTAGAAATAAGTCAAAAGGACAACTGAAAGGGCAGTAGCTGCTAAAGCTACTTTGTTATACTGCATTTTAATTGACTATTTTTGTTACCAAATATCTCTAGGTGCTTGCACTCCTACATGCAAAACCTATGAACTCAGCCCCTGCTTTATATAAGAAGTTTTTTTTTTTAAATTGAAGATATATGTGACCTTACATGGAATAATTTCATTATTTGATAGTACAGTGCATGGACTCTTAACGCTTTCCCTTAGCGAGTGTCAGCAAATACTAAAATATCACCATTATAAACCAGAAATATAGGATTTTATGTACTTGACCAGCCTGTGCTTCTTAAAGAAAAAAACTAACCCAAAAAACCACAACCCCAAAACCCCACCTGACCACCACCACCAACCAACAGATCTCATTGTTAAAGTGTCTTGTTACAGGTATTGTCAAACTTCTGCCAGCCTCCCTGGATCACTGGCCATCACGGTACAAGACATTTCCTCCCCTGACCCCCCCCCCCCTCCCCCCACTTCCGAGACCCTTAGATGTTAGTGTTGTCAGTACAAAATATATGGTAAGTAGTGTCTTACCCTGACAAAGACCCCTGTTTTCTCAGGCCCGCTGCTACCGAGCAAGGCTCCTATCACAGCAAAGAACGTCCTCTGTAGCACATCTGGTGGGACTGGAAACTCTTTGCAAAGCGTCAGGTCCTGTACAGACAGGTTTTGAGCCACATAAGAGACAAGTTCCTGACTGGTAAGAAAATCAACAAGTGCTCCTATGCCCTTTGCAGGTAAATCTGGGTAGGCACCTTCAAAACACTGCGTCAGGTAAGAACGTGAAAAAGACACCCCTTGTTCAGCGAGTTTACTGTTGTCTTGGAGATGAAGAGCAACCGCTTCTTTGTCCAGCCCAAGTTCTCGGCGTCTTGCCTCTTCGCTTTCAATGTAACAGGAATTAACAAACGCAGTCTTGAGGAGATCCAAAGAGAAGTTTTCGTGTAGCCGGTGGCTGAAAGCTTGTATCTCTGCGTGGTAATCCCAGTTGGGCTTCTCTGAGCTACAGACACGGAAGAGAAAACAAACTCAGAAACGGAACCCGAGGTTACCGGCACTGCAAGCATCGGGCCTTTCCGACGGTGCAAAGGGAATGAAAAAAGCCCCGGGGTCAAACGGAGGTTCCCCTCCTCCCGCCCCCCCTTCCCCCTGCCGCAGGGCGGGCCCAGCCGCGGGCAAAGCGGGGCTGCGGGGCTGAACGCGTTCCGCTCCAGCGCGGGACGAGAGGGCGCTGGAACGTTTGGCCTTAGCCCGCCCCTCAGCCTGCTGCTCTCCCTG